AAGCAGAGGCTCTTCCACTGAGTTTGGGGTAGGTGAGGGAGCTCAGTGGAGACACGATGCCATAGAATCTTTCCCCCAAAGCTGCCCTTTCCTCAAGGGGGGGGGGGTCTGATCTCCATGGCCTGGAGATCAGTTGTAATTCTGGGAGATCTCCAGGTCCCACCTGGAGGTTGGAAACCCTATCCCTTGCCTCCCACCCCTACACCGTTTGGGGCCTCCCTGTTGTCCCTTGAGGTTTCCTGGCTGAGATAAGCGTCACACCCGCTAAGCTGCTGGCTCTGCTGTCTGTAGAGATCCTTGGGAACCGGGCTCTGAAACCCCAAAATTAAAAAAAAACAACAACTAAGGCCATCCCAAAGTGAGCTGAAGTGTTAGCGCCGGGGTGTCAAACTCATTTGTTACGTGGGCCGGATCTGACATAAATGTGATTTTGTCAGACCGGGCCACGTGTGCCATAAATGTAATGCCAGGTGCTAGAGATATAAACTTTATAAAGGACATCAGCTGGTAAGCTCTGAGTTGGTGTATCTTCACTGCGAGGCCCCGTGGGCTGGGAAGGGGGCGCAAAGGAAACCCACATGGGCAGACTGGAGAGCCAGTGGTGCAGCACTAGGCAGACGATCTCACACATGATCGAGGGTTATAAGATTATGCGTGGGAAAGAGCAGGTAGAGGACAAAAAACCTCCCTTTCGCACAAGACGAGAACTCCCTTTCGCACAAGACGAGAACTCGTGGGCACTCCGTGAAATTGCTGAGCGGTCGGGTTAGAACGGATAAAAGGAAGTCCTTCTTCACCCAAAGAGTGACTCACACGTGGAATTCACTGCCGCGGGAGGTGGTGGCAGCTACAAGCATGGACAGGTTCAACAGGGAATTGGAGAAACATCTGGAGCAGGGGTCCGTCCGTGGCTATGAGCCACAAGGTATAGGTAGGGACTCTCGGTCTGGGGCAAGGGATGCTCTGTATCCTTGGTGCTTGGGGGGGGGGCGACAGTGGGAGGGCTTCTAGTGTCCTCTGGCCCCACTGCTGGACCTCCTGATGGCACCTGGTGTTTTTGGCCACTTGTGTGACAGAGTGTAGGACTAGATGGGCCATGGTAGGTGAGGGAGCTCAGTGGAGACACGATGCCATAGAATCTTTCCCCCAAAGCTGCCCTTTCCTCAAGGGGGGGGGGGTACTGATCTCCGTGGCCTGGAGATCAGTTGCAATTCCAGAAAGTCTTTAGCTCCCACCTGGGAGTTGGCACCATCATGTTCAGAGGCACTAATTGTTAAGTCGGTTACTTAACAAAGAGAGTGATTTCAGCAAAAGATTCAGCTTTATTCAGCAACTCGTAACTCAGCTCCAAACAGATCAACATGAATAGCCAGAACAGCTTTAGCATTGAAGCTGTTCCGCTTTTAAACTCTCCCGGGGGGGGGGGCAGCAACAGTGGGAGGGCTTCTAGTGTTCTGGCCCCACTGCTGGACCTCCTGATGGCACCTGGTGTTTTTGGCCACTGTGTGACAGAGTGTAGGACTAGATGGGCCATTGGCCTGATCCAACATTGGTTTCTCTTCTGCTCTTATGCTTGACTGCTGCAGACGAGGTTGTTTCGCCACGCTCAAGCCACAATCAGAGTGGCTCCGCCCACTCCCCCCCAGCAGTCTCCTATTCTCCCTCCCTTGCACTAGTTGCTGGATGGGCCAGTTCCGGCCCCCGGGCCTTATGTTTGACAACCCTGTGTTAGTGCGTGCACCCGATTCACTCCTGTTTGTGCTCCCACCCAGGGGATCCTGGGAAACGTCTTGCATCTGGGCTGGGGATCTCCCACAGGGCACCCTTAGAGGAGACTGCACATTTCTTTGGCAAAAGCCGCTGTAGTTAAATGGGTCTCAACGTGGTTTAACGTCACAGCGACTCAGGAGAGGCTCGACTGCTTCTCGGTTCCCCGGTCGACAACCCCCCCCCCAGGACAAACCGAGGCTCTTAAAAACGGACCAGGTTAAATGAACTAAAATAAAAGCAAGCACACCCCAGGGAATGGATGCAAACCTTTATTCCCGTCACATCCCGCGCCGCCTCTCGCCGACAGTCTCCCCGAGGTTTGCAAAGCCCTTTGATTAGTCGTGACCCGTCGTTAACTCGCCCAAAGCTATTGCTTTCCCCCCCCCCTTTTAAATTATTGCATGGAAGATTAAAACAGTCGCCCGTCATGCTGCAGCGCCAGCTGTCTTTTGGAAGTCCGCTTTCTTTGCCGCTGGCATTTGGTGCATGGGAGGGCGGGGGAAGGGGTTTAAAGACAGGCGGAGGAGAGATACAATAAAGGGAAAGCCGGATGGCACTGTCTCATGGGCTGCATGGAAGCATACCTGGGCCGCCTCAAGGTAATTGGGTCCTCTTTCTGTAGTGTCCAGCTCATCTTGCTCATATGACCCGTTCTGGTTCGCGCCGACCAGCTCTGGTTCGCCCCCAACCCCCTAGCGCTTTCCTGGTCACCTCCTCGTATGGCATCCAATCTCAGGGGAAAGCGGTGTTTTCGGAAGGCCTCCCCTGTTGTCAGACTGGGGCGTACCCTGCCCGGCCTTTGGCCGCGGTCACTGCAGTTGGAGATGGTTCAGATTCCAGGCCTCCGGGCTGCCTCTTATTCCTTGGCCCAACGCACTTTCGGCTACTCTGCGAGGCCCCGCGGGAGACAGAGTTCTTAAGAGGAAATGCCGTGCTTTACCGGCACCGCTCCCAAATGGGAAACTACCCCTGTAGGAGATTTGGCCACTGAAAGGGGGGTACTTGCAGGGCCTGGGTTCAGGTCTCCAAACTGACCTTCCCAACAGACTAGGGACTCTTGCCCAGACCCAGGCTGGTAAAAGCTGGCATCTCTCTGTCTATATGTGTAAAAAGCTAAAGGTTCCCTTGCTTGAAAGCCAGTCGAGTCCGACTCTAGGGTTGCGGTGCTCATCTCCGTTTCAAAGCCGAAGAGCCAGCGCTGTCCGAAGACGTTTCTGTGGCCGGCATGACTAAACACAGAGGTACACGGGACGCTGTTACCTTCCCACTGAAGTGGTACCTATTTATCTACTTGCAATTTCTTGCTTTCGAACTGCTAGGCTGACTGGAGCTGGAACTAGAGACGGGAGCTCACTCCGTCACGCGGCAACCCGGGTCTCGAACTGCTGAACTACTGACCTTCCACAGCCTGCAGTTCAGCGTCTTAACCACTTGAGCCACCGCAGCGCCCACCCCCACCCTTTCTCCAAGGAATCCAGGGAGGCTTCTGTGGTTCTGTATTTCACCGTCACCACAACGGCCCTGCGAGGGAGGCTGGGCTTAGGAATAATGACTGGCCTAAGGCCACCCAGCAACTATATGGCCAAGACAGGATTTGAACCCGTGTCTCCCCAGATTGTAGTCCAGCATTTGAGCCACTCTACTGTACCGGTTCTCATCAGACTCAAGCAGGGGAGGGGTCCCTCTTTGGCATTTGTTCACTCTACCTGCCCAGTCTTATCAATGGGTCTCGCATTCGAATTCCATCGGATGTGGACGTTGATTGCAAAGTCTGGGTTGGAAGGGTGACCTGGACGGAACTCCACAAGACCCGTGGAGTTGGGAGTCTCTCCTGAAGATCAGGTTCCTGATCCTAGTTCTCAGGGTTAAGTTAGTTTCCCTTCTTAGTTCAGAGTCCGAGTGTCTCTCCTACCGCCCGCTTGGCAAAACTGATGATGTCAGACAACTTTCTCACTCGGCGCTGGGGCCAGTTGGTTTGAAGGCCGGCTTCTGTCTCCCCCGCGTCTCTTGCGAAATGCGTCCTGGGCTGGAATGTTGCCATGGAAGGGCTTTTTCCCCCCCTTGGAGAGGGAGGGGAAAATGCAGAAGAGATGGATTGACAAGTCAGAGCCCAGCATCACAGCTGAATCTCGGGTGACGCTCCATCCCAGGTCCTGATTATCTGGTTGCTGGATTATCTTGGCCAACCCCGTCGAGGGTCTCGGGCAGGCGGAGTCCCTCCTCAATATTTCTTCTCGCATTCTCCCAGGCAGTCCTTTGGGGGTTCCTCCGCGGGCATCAGGGGTTCCAACCCAGAATGCATTAGAGGTAAGATGAGGTCGTCCATATTTGGCATCACTAAAATTTTCTAGTGGGGAGAGAAAAGAGGCAGGCGAGAGAGAATTGAGTTAAGAAGCCACCGAGCTGCCGGGCCTCAATACTAGCATTTTGCACCCGTTCCTGCAGTGGACTGCCACAAAGAGATCTCCATACAAGAGATGGATAGCGTAAGGGGGCTATTGAGGATGGAGCTACTGAGGACGGAGCTATTGAGGATGGGGCTACTGAGGACGAAGCTATTGAGGATGGGGCTACTGAGGACGGAGCTATTGAGGATAGAGCTATTGAGAATGGGGCTATTGAGGACAGAGCTATTGAGGATGGGGCTACTGAGGACGGAGCTATTGAGGATAGAGCTATTGAGAATGGGGCTATTGAGGACAGAGCTATTGAGGATGGGGCTACTGAGGACGGAGCTATTGAGGATAGAGCTATTGAGAATGGGGCTATTGAGGACAGAGCTATTGAGGATGGGGCTACTGAGGACGGAGCTATTGAGGATAGAGCTACTGAGGACGGAGCTATTGAGGATAGAGCTACTGAGGATGGAGCTATTGAGGATAGAGCTACTGAGGATGGAGCTATTGAGGATGGAGCTATTGAGGACGAGGCTACTGAGGACGGAGCTATTGAGGATGGGGCTATTGAGGACGGAGCTATTGAGGATGGAGCTACTGAGGACAGAGCTATTGAGAATGGGGCTACTGAGGACGAAGCTATTGAGGATGGGGCTACTGAGGACGAAG